TTAGCCCAAGAATCTAACGAACCCTCTGGAGATGTCGGATGCACGCTGGAAACTTTTGTCCTTCTCCTTGGCGTCAATTTCTTCAGTGAGATGCTGCGATTATGGTCGATCGCAAAGGTGCGAATCGGGAAAGTTTCTACTTCCGATCTGAATTTGTGCTTTCATGGAGTTGGCAGACGACGGTTCTCGAACAGGGGCGGCGAAAGAAGAAGGGTGATGAGCTTCGGTGACGGAAGCCATGGCGCTCTGGGACTGCCATCATCGATTCCGGGCATGGGAATCGACGCCTACGAACCCACTCTTGTTCCTAACTTGRCTTCCGATATCTCTTTCATATCCGCCGGACACTACCATTCCCTTGCCGTTACATCTGACGGTCACATTTGGGCTTGGGGTCGCAACGATGAGGGCCAGCTCGGTCGAACCGCGGATTCTGCTAGGTAAATTCCTACCCAGTTTTGCTAAATTGATATCATCAAAAGTGAAGATTCCTACCCAGTTTTGCTAAATTCCTACCCTAGATTTAGTGATGATGGAATCTATGGGTGAATTAGTGAAGATCAGTCTGAGATGTGATCGAATATCATTCGAGGTTACAAGTAGAACATGAATATTCTACTTGGAATTTGGTAGGTCTCTTATGCTACTATATTAAGTATATTGACATGATTAGTCGATATTCAAGGAGTGAACCGAAGAGAGTGGAAGGTCTAGATAATGTGACTGTCCGGGCAGCTTATGCATCTGGAGTCATTTCAGCGGCCATCGGAGATGATGGCTCTTTGTGGGTCTGGGGAAGATCCAAAAGAGGACAGCTTGGTCTTGGAAAAGGTACCATAGAAGCTCTAGTTCCTTCAAGAGTTGAAACTTTAGCTGAAAAACACATCGTCAAGGTCTGGTAAATGTGTATTTAGTTCAACTCTTGTATAGTCAGCTTTGAAAACGAGATGAACACTCCTCACAGGAATGTCCTTCCATTTTGACAGGTATCATTAGGTTGGGGGCATGCACTTGCACTTACTGTGGATGGTAAAGTTTTCGGCTGGGGTTATGTGGCTGATGGAAGAATCGGCAATGTCGGACTTCCACTTGAGGCATCTCTGCTGGATTCCCTTACAAATGGGTCGATAAAAGATCACCAGGCTGCTGATTTAAATCTTGAGGCAGCTGAAAAGAAGGTTGCGGAAGCAATGAAAAAGGAGGGCGACATGCCAATAGCTTGGGAGCCTTGTCTTGTTGAAGAATTACGTAATATGAAGGTAGCAGATATTGCGTGTGGATCCGATCATTCCTTGGTTCTTTGTCGTAAGTAAAAGAGACCCTGCTAATCTATGGGAGAGTATTCATTATATAAAGATGATTTTTTTCTGATAGGTTTTTGCTGATTTCAGATGATGGCACACTTTTGAGCTCCGGGAGCAACATCTATGGTCAGTTGGGTAGGTCAACACGAGACCTAGGAATGTCACCTGTTGATATAACCGAATCCCCAATCTCTATAGCAGCTGGTCTTGGTCATTCTTTAGCTATCTGCAACAGCGGTGAAACAAGGATTGTCTCCTGGGGTTGGAACCGTAGTCGGCAGCTTGGTAGAGGAAAACTGGAAAACCTTCCGAGCAAAGTGGAGGGTTTGGATGGGGAATCTCCAGCTTCAGTATCAGCAGGGCGTGTGCATTCCTTGAGTGTAACAGAGAAAGGAGAAGCTTGGGTTTGGGGTTGTGGAAAGAATGGTAGGCTCGGTTTAGGAAGCTCAAGTGATGAGCCTGAACCGATGTTGCTGGAGGACGTAGAGAGTTGTGTTCTTCAAGCAGTCGCCGGGTTTGATCACAGCCTGATCTTAGTGGCTGAATAGCCCCACCAAATCTATAGATTAGTTTGATGGCTGGGAAACAAATAACATGGAACGTTGAGCTCATTGAGATAACCCATGTGTGACTCCAGCTGACGAATGATATGGTAAAGTTTTTTACTAAGCTCATAGATGTTACATGTCTCTTACCGGTTTGTAATCAGATCCTCTTAAACGGGTGTCCTGTAAGTTAGAAAACAGTTAACATCACGTACAATTGACACTATCTTGATGAGTTCCACTTCTAAGTTAAAAGGATTTCAGGATATATAACTGAAACATATATAATGTTCATGAAAGCTTGATTGTCCTTCCAGATGTACGGTGCGTGCTAAGGATTTGCAGGTCTCTCATTTGGTGTTACTACTTATTAAGTTATTATATTAACTTCTTCGAAACACATGTTCTAAATTATTTCTTATAATGGTATATACTAAAAAAGAACAGAATATATATATAAGGTTAATTTGCTCAATAACTAAAAAC